ATGGCTGTAACTGAAGTAAAATATGTGACACGAAGTCACTATGGCCGTAGCCAAAGTAAAATACTTGTAGTAAAACTGAAAAAATTTTATTATGAAGGGAGTGAACTGGGCTTAGTGGGACCCGTTAAAGAGGGCTGACATAGGGTTAATGCGCAGCGCGACAGCTGTCTGTCGAAAGACGTGTACAATAAATACAGGTTGTAAAAAAGTAATTGCACAGTTAAGCGGACGGAATGGGAAATGAACCGTCGAATCCCAGAGATTTCCCTTGGGAATTAACCGTCGAATTTGAAACGGTGTAACCATAACTGTTAGATGAAATTAATCAGAGCCGTTGAGGCGTATATTTCTTTTGGTATATAAAGCTATACTTCTGTAAAAAGAGTTTTACTTTCTCCGTATTTGCTACCTAAGTGTTGCCAAACTCTCTACAGTGTTTGTGTGAGTGATTTGTGTGACACATTTTTGACTTCACAACTCGTTTTGCACTATCAAAATCAGGTAACTTATGAACTTTTGTAATTCAAGCTCTAGTGGTGAATTTTATTCTCCTCTCACCCTTTTTGATTTAGATTTAAGCCATCTTAAAGAGGTTAGGGTTAAGAGCGAGAGTGATATTGAGCGTGAGTTAGAGTTTTTAAAGATCCTGACTACATTCCTCCCCCTACTCCGTGTAGTGAAAGTTACGAGACTGAGGAGATGTCTTCTGAGGAAACACTAAGCATTGGGGGGAACGAGGAACTAAAGATGTTGGAGTACAGTGATATAAGCATCGAGAGTGAATCGTCTGGGTCTGAGCGGACAAAGGGAGGGGTAGGGAGAAATGAGGTTGTTGAGGTTTGGGCAGAAAAGGTGCCTGTTAATATATTGGAAGTGGGAGATAGGAGTGATAAGTGTTACGATAGTGGGGCAGACATTGTGTCTGAGGTAAAGGGGTATGAGTCTAAGCTGCGGAGTAGGAATAGCCTGAGTTATCTCGTGGACAGCTACGAGATATCGTCTAGAGTGTTAATCAGGCCTGCTGGAGTGAAAGAAAGAGCATGCTCTGCACCCAAGGATCACTGGATGCCAGTGTATGCCCATTATTTGGCAACAAGGCTTAGGTTTCCTGTGCCTGATTTATTAGTGTGGTTGTTATTAGAGTATAGTGTAGGTTTAACCCAATTATCTCCCAATGCAATAAGGGTGATAATTGGGTTTGTAGTTTACTGTCGGGCTAAGGGAGTTAGGGTGCCCACAATAAACATGTTTAAGCACTTTTTTGTGCTGAAGGCTGGAAGTAGAAAGGAGAAGGGGTGGTATTACTTTACACCTCGGTCGTCCAACAAAGAGAAAAGGAACCTGTTTAGTGCAGGGCCTTCCTCCATTAAGGGGTGGAAGGAAAAATTCTTCTTTGTTGATGACACCGAGTGGGAGAAAGGAGATGGGGAAGTAGAATTTTTGTCCACCTAAAAGGCTAAAAAGGCCAACCAGAATAAGTACACTTTAAATAGTGATGAGGAGGAAGAGGCAGAGAAGCTGGTGAGAAGGGAGGGTGACATAATAGATATTATGTTTCTCACCAGCTCAAATGTTATAGAAGCGACTGAGCTTTATGGGCCGAGCGCACTGAGCAAAGGTGTATTGGTGTATTGTGTGATGTGTGTAAAAGTTTGTTTATGATTTGTGGATTTTAACGAAATTGTTGTTTTGCAGCTGAAATGGACATGTTTCTCAGTGCTGCTGATGGGGTGGCTATCCCTAAAAAGCCAAGGAAAAAGTCCCAGACTTCGGAGAAGGCTGTGTTGCAAAAGGAGGTGGGCACATGGAGAAAGGGCAGATGTCAAGCACAGAACCCCGAGCTGCAGAGGAAGTGGAGCTGAGGTCCAAGAGGAAGAGGGATGAGGTGGACCAAGCTCAAAAAAAGAAGAGGAGGATGGAGGAGGAGGTCAGAAGGGATGAGGTAGTAGAGTTTGTACCTCGTCCTGCACCTGTTGAGCTTGATCCGGACCTCAAAGAGACCGAGGTCCCTACCTCTAGCAAGGGTAAGGCATTTGTACCCGCGCCTTCTCTCTAGAGCACCATTTTTGGGAGCAAAAACTTCTCCATGGCGAAGAACTTTATCAACGCTTACGTTCCTGAGGTGGATCGCCGCGAAGCGAGGGAAAAAGTGTTGCTGCATAGAGGGACCTCAATTGTGAGGCATACTCTAGAGGTAAGTTTGGTGATTGTTTTTGTTGTTGTTTTTTTTTTTTTTTTTTTTTTTTTTTTGATTGAGTTGTGTTGATGTGGCAGATTGCAACTTGGGTTAATGCATTAGCCCAAGAATTCCTGGAGCTGGTGAAGGAGTGCAACAACCTGCAGAAGGAAAAGGATGAGCTGTTGAAGAAGAATGGTGAAATGAAGAGGGAACTGGATATCGTGGTACCAACAGTGACAAGCCTACAAGAGGAGAGAGATACACTGAAGACGATTCTCTCATTCAAGGAGAAGAAAAAGAGAATGTGCGAAGAGGAGAATGACGCACAAGAGGAGGAAATAAGAAGAGTGAGAGAATCCAAGGTGGAACTCAAAAAGAATGTACCTGTTGGTCCACAATGAGATGGAGGAGCATATCAACAACTTTATCAACTCCAGCACATTTGACAACATCGTCAATCTTTACTTGCTGCCGACTACAATCCTCGCCTTCACTGATTGCAGAAAGAAGGTCAAGACTGAGTATCCTGAGGTGGATATCACCAAAATTACCTTCGGCAAGCAAGAGGAAGGGGTGGAGGAGAATGGCGAAAGCCTATCAACAGATTTCCGACCTCAAGTTGAGCTTAGGTGGGATCATGATGAACAAGGACGCGTTTTTTTTCCTCTCAACTTCAACTTCGAGTTCGTAGTAGTGGAGGAGGAGGAAGGAGAAGCAAAAGGGGCTAAAGTTGAAAAAAGTCAACCATCTCCTCCCGTAAAGGTGCATCCAATTCCCTTAGAAGAAGAGCAGCCATCTCTCCCAACAAAGCAGGAGCCACAGCAGCCACCTCCACCAGCAGAATAGCTCAAGGATTTTGGGATTTGTATTGTTTGATTTATGTATTTCGAATTTGGATAACAATTAATGTACAAATTTTTTTATTAATTTCAAGGAAAATTTTTGAATTAGTTTGTTCATTTATGTTGTGTTTTTTGATTAATCACTTCGAATATGAACCGGGAAGAAGTAAAATTCAAATATGAGCTGAGAAGAAGTAAACAAATTTTGATATGAATAGGGAAGAAGTGAATCACTTCAGAAATGAATTAAAAAGAAGTAGAGCATTTCGGAGATGAATTAAAAAGAAGTAAAGTATTTTGTATGTGACATAACATTTATTAATAAAAGTGAAGTTCAAGGAATGAATTCTTAACAAATTGATGAAGCTCAACAATAAAAAAGTAATAAGTATAAAGGAGAATCAGACATAGATCACTTGAAAGGAGTTTATCAAGGGTAAAATTTCTTCAAGTTATTGACATTCCAAAGTCTAGGAATTCGCTTCCCCTTAGCGTCCTAGAGGATATAAGCACCAGGATGTGGCACTTCGGCCACTGTGTAAGGGCCTTCCTAGTTTGGGACCAATTTGCCAAAACGAGTTTCAAACTCTATTAGGCCAGCCTTTTTAAGAACAAGGTCTCCTACTTTGAATGTGTGAGGGCGGACTTGTTTGTTGTAGAAGTTGGCTAATTTCTACTTGTATACAAGAGTTCGAAGTCATGCTTCTTCTCTAACTTCGACAAGCAGATCAAGGTTTTCCCAAAGCAATTGTCCATTTCGTCCTTTATCGAAATGGGTGACTCGGAGGCTTGGGACTCCTATTTCAATAGGAATGACTACTTTGGTACCAAAGACCAGGTGGTAGGGTGTTTCACCTATTTCATGAAAGGTTAAATCCCCATTTTGGTCCCTGAACTATTGTACAGACCCCTGATTTGGTCCCCATTATTTATAATTTGGCCCAAGTTGGTCCTTGAACTATTGTACGAACCCCCAATTTGGTCCTTATTGTTTACAATTTCACCCCAATTTGGTACATGAGCTATTATTTAACAGAAGGACCAAGTTGGGGCTAAATTGATAAACAGTAGGGACCAAATTGGGGATTGTATAATAGTTTAGGGACTAACTCGGGGGTCTGCACAATAGTTTAGGGACCAACTCAAGGGTCCATACAATAGTTCAAGGACCAAATTAGGGATTTCTTTAGTTCAAGGACCAAATCGGGGGTCCGTACAATAGTTCAGGGACCAAAATGGGGATTTAACCTTCATTAAATTATAGTGTTTAGAATATGCTTTACATATTATGCACATTTGATCTAGGGTAGAGTCGTAGGTGAGAAAATAAAAGTTGAATGGAAGTAGCTTGGGTTGGAAATAGTACCTATGGTAGTTCGACTTGTAGTTATATATGCCCAAAGGACGTTGTTGAGATCGTCTGCCCACCTGGCCTTGTGCTGTTCCAACCTCAGCTTTATTCCTTCTAAGATGGCTTTATTAACAGATTCTGCCATACCATTGGACTCCGGATGGTAAACCAAGGTGAACTGTAATTTGATCCCGTAGTTGCAAATAATTGAGCCAAAAACAAAGTCTTTGACCTTTCTGAAAGTAAGACTAGATAACGGCTGAGCTTCAACCCATTTCGTAAAATAATCGACTCCAACAATCAGATGGGTTACACCTCCAACCCCCTTCATAAATGGGCTTAGAAGATCAAGTCCCCACTGAGCAAATGGCCACGGTGCTACCAAGTTTGTAAGCTCTTCTACTAGTTGGTGAGTCTAATGTGCGCAAAATTGGCACTTCGGGCATTTCTAAACAAAATGAGTAGCATCTTTATACATATTTGGCCAGTAATATCCCTATCTTAGGACTTTGTGAGCAAGGGTTCCAACACCAATGTGGCTCCCACAGACACCTTCATGTACCTCCTGAAGTGCGTACTCTGCTTCATAGGGATTCAAGCACCGTAGAAGAGGGAGTGAGAAAGATCTCTTATAGAGGACCCCATCGATGAGTGTATATCGAGACACTTTTTTCCTCAACCTCATCTTGTCTTCAGGTACTGTTCCATCTCGTAAAAAGGAGATAATTGAATCAGTCCAGCTTGGTGTGTCCGGGTCTATACTGATCTCCATCATTCGTGGCTTCATGACACTTGGTTCATTTAAGACTTCCACAAAAACTAATCTGGAGCTTAAAGAGCTATCGGAGGCGAACTTAGAAAGTGAATCTGCCCATTCATTCTCAGTTCAGGGAATTTTGTTCAGACAAAATTTTTGGAATTTGCACTTCAGCTCGGCCACCAGGGCTACATATTTCATCACCACAGGATCAATGACTTCACAGATTGAGTTGACTTGATTAACCACAAGTTGTGAGTCACTGTATATTTGTATCGGCATGACCTTCAGCTCCAATGTTAGTTGCAAACCAAGTAGCAGAGCTTCTTACTCAGCCATATTATTTGTTGCATCGAAATTAAATTTCAGAGCATGCTCGCTTCGGTATCCATCTGGACCAATTAAGAGAGCACCAGCTCTTGAACCCTTGCTACTAAATGCTCCATCAACATATAAGGTCCAGTTGTTGGGCTCAGGATTAGGGGTTGAGTGACATGGAGTGCATTCTACAATGAAATCTACCAGTGCTTGAGCTCGGATTGCAGATCTCTACTGAAATGTTATCTTAAACTCCCCCAGTTCTACTGCCCACTTAATTAATCTTCTGGAGCACTCCCACTTCTGCAGAATCTGTCGAAGAGGTTGGTCTGTGAGGACGATGATTAGATGTGACTAGAAATATGGCCTCAACTTCCTGGCCGAAGTAACGACTACTAATGCTGCTTTCTTAGCAATAAGATACCTCAGTTCTGCACCATGCAGCACGCTGTTGATATAATAGATTGATTTCTGTTGTTTAGCTTCTTCTCTCACCAGAACTGAACTAATTGCTTCGTCTGAAATTCCAAGGTACAAATAGAGAATCTCTCCATCTATAGCCTTATTCAGTAGGGGTGGTGAGTTAAGATAAGACTTCAACTCCTCGAATGCGACTTGGCATTCTTGGTTCCATTCAAACTTCTTCTATTTGCTTAATTCGTCATTCTGGGCGGCTAACCTCATGATCTTGAAAAATGGCAGGCACTTATCTGCTGATTTCGATATGAACCTATGCAGAGCTACCACCCTTCCAGTTAACCTCTGTATATCTTTCATTGACTTTGGTGGTTTCATCTCAACAATTGCTCTGATCTTTTCTAGATTGACCTCAATCCCTCTTAGAGAAACCATGAAGCCTAGAAATTTCCCAGACTCCACGCCGAAAATGAATTTGGCTGGGTTTAATCGCATTATGTTCTTTCTGAGGTTGTTGAAAGTTTCATCGAGATCAGCTAGATAGTATTCTGCTTTCAAGCTCTTTACCACAATGTCATCAACATAAACTTCTAGATTCCTACCGATCTGAGCTCGGAAGATGATAGTCACCATTTTCTAATAAGTAGCACCTACGTTCTTTAAGCCAAATGGCATTATGACATAGCAATAGATTTCGTCACCAGCATAGAACGAGGTTTTCTCTTCATCTTCTGGAGCCATCGACACCTGGTGATATCCAGAATATGCATCCAAGAGACTTAATCTCTCATTTACAGAAGCTGTTTCAACCAGTTTATCAATGCTTGGCATCGGATAA